TACCTCTTACTTCATCGATGATGTGGAGATAACAAAGGTTAAGGAAGTAAAGGACTTAGGTTTTCTTTATAATGACAAACTTGACTTTTCTTCACATCACAGACATATTTATAAAAAGGCATTCCATCGTACCTATAATATATTCAAGGCCCTAGCGACCAATGACAGCAAGGTACTTCTCCACGCATACAAAACTTATGTTCGACCGTTAGTGGAAAATGGGACTGTCATATTCTACCCTAATAAGAAAAAGGATATCGCTCTCGTTGAAAAGGTTCAAAACAATTTCACAAGGAAAATACTTATCCGTCGCGGAGGTTTCCTGTATGCTAAAATCCCGAAAGCTTCGGTAAGGAACGAATACTTCAAACTTCCAACCCTCCAGTCTCGACGCAACTTCTTTGATCTATGTGTGCTCCATAGGTTCTTAGGAAGAGTCTGCTGGTCAGTGTCTTCTTTCTCAAACCTGTTCGTCTGTTACAGGGGTGCTCACTAAAAGCTATTCATTTGATAGCCTGAAAACCACTCTCAGACGAAACTTTTTCACGGTAAGAAGCGGGGGACTGCTTAATATTGACGCTCAACAAACCGCTCCATCCAAGGCTCTTTGGCATCATTAAGAAGGTCACTAGCTAAACAATTGCTTGCCTCATAGTTGTCGTTTGTTGTTTTTATTCGTTTCCTTGGAGTTTGTATTTCTGTTCCGGTATTATTAATTTTATCTTATGTTTTATTTTACGTTGCCCTACACAACGTACTGAATAAAGAATAAGAATAAAGTATTAGTTTCCGCTCAGGCAGCGATAGCTGTTGGGTGTTAGCATGCAACAGGGGGCGATATTTTGTTCGCGAGGGAGAGCGGGTCGGTGTTTGTTTGAGTGAAAATTTTATTAGTTGTTTATTTTGATTTTAGGGCGTTGTAAAGCGGGAGGGGGTATCTGCAGTTTGTTGGGGGGAGAGAGAGGGAATCGCATTTGCCTTCTAGCGTTCTGAGAAAGTTTGTGGACTCCTCGTGGTTTCTCCTGCTTCGAAGCAATGTTTGTGGGGGGGGGGGGGAGGGAAGCACTTAGTTTCCAATGTTGACATTCTACCACTTACTTCATTGATGATGTGGAGATAACAAAGGTTAAGGAAGTAAAGGACTTAGGTTTTCTTTATAATGACAAACTTGACTTTTCTTCACATCACAGACATATTTATAAGAAGGCATTCCATCGTACCTATAATATATTCAAGGCCCTAGCGACCAATGACAGCAAGGTACTTCTCCACGCATACAAAACTTATGTTCGACCGTTAGTGGAAAATGGGACTGTCATATTCTACCCTAATAAGAAAAAGGATATCGCTCTCGTTGAAAAGGTTCAAAACAATTTCACAAGGAAAATACTTATCCGTCGCGGAGGTTTCCTGTATGCTAAAATCCCGAAAGCTTCGGTAAGGAACGAATACTTCAAACTTCCAACCCTCCAGTCTCGACGCAACTTCTTTGATCTATGTGTGCTCCATAGGCTTCTTAGGAAAGGAGTCTGCTGTCAACTGCTCTTCTTTCTACAACCTGCTTCCGTCTGTTACCAGGGGGCTCACCTAAAGCTATCGTTTCCTAGACCTAAAACCACTCTCAGACGAAACTTTTTCACTGTAAGAGCGGGACTTGCTTATTTGCGCCTCAACAAAACCGCTTCCATCCAAGGCTCTTTGGCATCATTAAGAAGGTCACTAGCTAAACAATTGCTTGCCTCATAGTTGTCGTTTGTTGTTTTTTATTCGTTTCCTTGGAGTTTGTATTCTGTTTCCGGGTTTTATTTTATTTCATGTTTTATTTTTAACGTTGCCTTACACAACGTACTGAATAAAGAATAAAGAATAAAGATGCAGCCCTCAGGTCACATCGCTGTTGGGTGTAGATGACAACAGGGGGCGTATTTGTTCGCAGGGAGAGCGGGTCGTGTTTGGTTTGAGTGAAATTTTATAGTTGTTTTTTTGCTTAGGGCGTTGTAAAGGGGAGGTATCTGCAGTTTGTTGGGGGAGAGAGGGGAATCGCATTTGCCTTCTAGCCTTCTGAGAAAGTTTGTGGACTCCTCGTGGTTTCTCCTGCTCGACAGCAATATTTTTGGGGGGGGGGAAAACCACGAGAATTTCCGAGAAATGCCAGAAAAAACTGGTGGGGAATTGCCAACATCCAAGAAAGTGGTAAGGGAGGGCAGTCATATTTTCCTCGCGACTTTTCCTATCGTTTTAGGTGCACAGTATAACCCCCCCCCCTCCTCGACAGCTCGATCAGAGGAGGGAACTAGGAGAGTCGTATCAAGGCACCCTTCAGGGGAGGGGGGTCGTACGGATTCGACCAATATCCCCAACTGAGATGTGCACTGGTTTTCCTGTCCTTTTCGCATGGTTTTATCTTCCGATTTGCTTTCAAACACCTCACTAAATGTACTCGAAATACCTGAGATGCGGTAGGCGTGGCTGCGTGCTTCAGCTAAATGTGGCGGTGCCTGTGCTTTTGGTGAGACATTTTCATTTTGAGACAATTGTGGTCATGTCTTTGTCCAACACAGAACAAGATGACAGTTGTCTCAAGTTGGAAATATCCACGAGTAACCCATCCTATGCCATGTTCAAATGCCACGCCTACTCCGACTCAGGGATAAGGAGTGTAAAGACGATTAATGTGGATGATAACAAACCAAAACCAAAAAAATTAAGGTGAGGAAAGTGAGGAAGAAACATTCGCCGCATTCCAAGCAAAGGTGCGCCCAACACATCATTGCGCCTTTTATCTCAGGAAACAGAGTAACTACAGTGGCATAGAAAATTGAATTTTTTTTCAAGATTTGTTAATATTTCAAGATTCGCCAATTGGGATCGCTTTTCGTAGCAAAATCGAAGAAACCTTGTGTATGGGAGATCTTCCTAATGTGTTCTAGACGCCGATACTTACGTATGTAGGTTAAGCAAAAACAGATGAAACCGATTACCCTTTCATCTTCTTCCATTCGCTTTTCGCATGATCTTGATCTGACCAGAAATCGTTTTCAGTTCCAGACACGCTTTCTGCATGCACTTATTCACTTCGAAAAGTGTTCCAGCTAAATGAGAACAAGAATTCGCATGTACTGAACAGGAACACTAAAAAACAATAAGAAAATAGACTGAAATCCGGAATTGAGTGCAAAAGAGCGTTGTCAGTTTCTATCCGTTATTTCGAGTTATCTTCCGAGAAAAGTGAAGAAAAACGCTACGTTGATCCTGATCCGAATCGTAGCCGGTTATCTTGTATGATGGTGGATTCTTCTGTGATCCTCTTCCGATACGAGAGTTCGGCATCGTATTCATAGATGTTTCCACACACGAATCGCCTGAAAGGTGTACTACATTGGATTATCTCTTGTAATCACCCACTATATGTAATTTGCTACTTGTATCTGTTTGTTTGTCTGTCCGGAAATTCAGTTCGACCTGAAGAACGACTTGGAGAGGTCGGGTCAAGGTGGGGATGGGTAGGGCATGGGACAAGATGTAAAAGCACACTTGACCCATGCTAAGCCCCGCCCACAGTGGGCGGGGCATGCGCCGAAAGTTGGCGGTGCCGCAGACAAAAATTCAAATTCGCATCTAGAGCAGCTCAGAGACTGGGAAGAAGTGGAATTAGGTCAGCAGGAGGTCAACAGACTAACAGGGGAGAGACATCCGGAATAGGGCGGGTGTGTCTGAGATGGACGTCTTTCCACGAAATTCAATATTCGTTTACAAGATAGTTTAGAGGCCGCAAAAAGTCGTTGGGGGAGTGCAACATATGGTGAAAGTTGGCATGCATGTGGTGTGTTGAGACCCGCCCACAGTGGGTGGAGCCTGCCCTCAAGCATATGATATCACTTCAATAAATTGTAATTCGGTTCCAGAGCACTCTTAAGACCGGGAAAAGGTGGCTTAAGGTGACACACACTTTGTGGGCGGGCCCTGCTCTGAGGTGGGCGGAGCCAGACTGAAAATGTCTGTACGCGCGACAAAGCTGAGCCGTGGAAGGGTGCCGGCGTTAGCGGGGCGTCCGACTGGTATAATAGAACGGATGAACTCATGAACTTAGGATAGAAATGATCGACAATGACCAGTATCTTCAGTTGATATCATCGCAGTCGGTCGGGGAGGTGTCAAGAATTATGGGTGAGCCTATAGGCGGCGATTTCATCAGTAGCTGCTTTCTTCCTGAATCGACCGCTAGCCGATCCCTATTGATGGAGAGCACAGCCGGAGAGGGCTTGATTCCCCACGGACACCACCCTGCCTGGTTGCGACGATATCAACTATATTTTGATTATTGAAAACACTGCCTATATTGGGGGGGGGGGGCAAAAAAGAAACTTTTTCCTGAACTCAAATGAAGAATAAGAACGTGCTTTATCAAAATTCTGATTTGGATCATTTCCACCCATCAAATTCAGCAACACATCTCGCGACTATTGTATAGGTTGACGGGAAGTTGTCGCATTGAATTGCTGGAGTGAATCCAACGGCCAAGCTTTGCGACTTTACCAATCTTCTCCAGCCCAGATTCAACAGTTGATTGGGCATGGCCGAGCATCGCTGCAAGTTCCCTGGTAGTGGCGTACGGATCCTCTTCCACGGTGGATTGCAGCAACTTCAAGTCTAACTCCATCGGCCGGGGCTAGCCGACTTGAATCTTGGAGAGAAAAATCTCCTTTCTTGAACTTGGCCATCCAGGTCTTGCACGTGTCGTAAGAGATAGCGTCAGCGCCATATGTATCCACTATCTTGGCTTGGGCTTCCCTTTGCGTTAAGCCGCAGAACTGAATGGAAGAAAAGAAGGCAGTGCTAGAGGTGCATCTTTGTTCGGGTTGAAAACTTGGGCGGCATTTTGGAATCCAAATGCAAGCTGGGTGAGTGTGAGGTAGTGATGTGAAAGAGTCTCTTGCGTGCTTCATGCACACCCCACGATAAGTCATAAACATACAAGGCTAATATGGTGCGATCAAGCACTTGGCGGGAAACTTTCCGGTCAACCTAACTAATCAGCGAAATTCCGTCCACAGCCTTCTACAGATTGAACGCATCGAGAGATTGGCTTCACGCGCGCGTGATTCGGCCAGAGTTCAGCCGAGGCGTTGGATTCCCAGCAACTGTTGAGTGGCCCTAATTGAGCTTCGGCCTGAAACCCGGCAATCGAATGTGGTTAGGCTCAGGTGACCCGCTTAGATTATTTCCGTCTTCTTTAGGTATTCACAGGCCCTTTGATTCAAGTGAGCGAGATGTTTTGATTCCATGTGCTGGCCAACCCTTGTAGCAGTACGAAGTCTTCCGAGATGGAAAGGTGAGATATGAAGGCAGAATGATTTCCTCCGAGCTGTTTAGATGCATAAGATAGTCGCAGGCGTTAAGGTTTCTTTCAGCCCGAGTCTAGAGAGGAATATTCCGTTCCTCTCATTCCAGGGACCTATGGCCCATCATCGAACCAGCGAGCTTAGCGATTGCCAGAGGAAGAATGCATCCTAGACGCATACCTCCCATACATTTTGCTTTGCTCGATGTTTCTGAGTTTTCGAATCAATGAATGGTGCTGGGTCCGGGCATAAAGAAGTTTCGCAGCTGTTTAGAGGTGACGTGAATTCCATAGGCCTTCTCCAGTCAGGCTGCAATTGGAGATGGCTTCATATTTTGGTGTACATGAAGGTGATGGACGAGAGCCTGCTTCCTGCTTATTGAGGAACATCTTGGGTATCTTCCACTATGGTACCCGTCTTCTCTTTGGGCAGCGTATTCTTTACTGATATGTGTTTGGAGCGACGAGTCTTTTTTTTGGCCTCCCGGTGTATGGTAGGCAGAGTGACGCGAAAGTAAGTTGAATGGCAGAGACGTCAACCAGAATTTGTTCTAACCCTACTCAGAAGCAATCTTCGGACGTATCGAGTCGCCGTTTGCATCCGGGCCAACAATCGCTAGGTAGATACGCGCTTTACATCTATGTACTCAATGATGTCCGATGCGACACCTGCCCGTTTGATGATCAATTCATTGCTACAGTATTGTCTTCCAAGATGAAGCGATTACGAGCAACACAGCATAGGATGGACGATTTGTGGACGGGCGGGGCGACGTGGGCAATTCGGGGAGCACTATGTTGCGTCTGATAGGGCGCTCATGGGCTACGCTTCCTGGCGCAGTGACCGCCATTCCGGAGTCGGGCTTCGTTTAACTCGTGTTGCACATCTGTCGCCATGCCTACTTATCCTAACCTCTTCTTCAGATAGATATATAACAGGATAAAACGCGATTTTCCGGCGAAGCAGAGCAGTTGTAAATAAGAATATATAAATAGATAAATAACAAATAAAGTAAATAAATAAACAGTAAGCAGATGCGCAGTGGGAACTTGGTAGCCACGGATATGTATTAGGTTGTCGGAACACCTGTCACTTTTTAAAAGAATATCTTGTGTACTCAAAGAAAAATATAAGATTTGAATGTTTCACCGTTACTGATCGACGTACTCTTGCAACGTCCTGGCAATTTATGGATACCATCCTTTCAGAACTCAGCTTCGCGAGAGGCGAAAATACGATGTCAACTCGATTCATCTGGGCGTGGGTTTTGAACTTCTTCCCATCCAGGTAACGGGTTAGGTCGGAGAATAACCAATAATCGGAAGGAGCAAGGTCTGGGCTGTACGGGGGATGAGGCAGAACTGTCCAGCCATATTGCACCAGCTCCGATTTGACACTTATTGCAGTGGAAGAAAGTCTGGCATTCTCAGTGGAAGAAAAAAAGTATGAGGTGGCGCAGGTGCTCACGGTCCGGTACAAACTCGTTCTCCATTCTGTAAAAGGGGAGTAAAAAATGAAGCGGGCATTACTATTAGAAGTAGCATTACCTTGGCTATTACGGCTGATATTATCGATTGGACGCTATCGATCTAAGGACTGATATGATAGGTTTGAAAAAAGTGACAGACCCCCCCCCCCTCCCGCCAACCTAATACAAGCTTCTGAAAACTTTGGACGGTCTTCAAGATAACCAACCGCTTGTTACGTGCCCAAGTTCGATGTTCTGAGGATCGTTTTTGCCGGCTCGAATGCTTCTGATCAGCGTTAGACTGTCAGCTGCTGCCATGGCTCCTTCAGTTGACCGACCATTCCGAGTTTCTATTCTTTTCGCCATATCTTCGGCTTTTTTCGCCTCAAAAGCGGTGTTATCGATTAGCAGAAGTTTGAATCAATACTTTGCCTACGTTTACGTTTGATTTCCTTTCGAACTTGTCTTGTTCTCAATGGCAGGAGCGGCTAAGTAATGAAACCTCTTAGATTCTTAAGATCCCTGTGGTCGTCTAAAATGAGCAATGCCCCTTGCACCCTTGTTAAACAACCAATCCTACCGCTGCCCTGCAACGAAATTGGATTTCATGACGAATGGGGAGAGAAGTAATGCTGCTTTCAATTCCCGCGACATTCGTGTTTTTGTGCATGGATTTTATCCCGGAATCCAGCTTCGGCCAAGTTTAGAACTTGAGAGAACCGTCGAAATTATTCAAAGGAGCGAGTCGAGGGACCATGTGAAATATTGCTGGCATGTAGGCGACAATTTAGCATTTGCACTGGGCAGCTGGAGCATTTGAAGAAATGAAACCTCTGAGAAAAACATACTTTTATTTCTCGACGATTGAAAACGGTCGTGCCCGGGCGGCGCATCATCAGAATCCATGGAAGCCAAATCAATAAGCATTCTCGTAACTGTAAAACAGTCATATGAGAATGGCACTACAAAAGAAAACGCTGATTTATAATGCAATCGATTCGTGGAAATGCAACACTCTATTCCATTTGAGTTATTGTAACGAATTACTACGGTTGAACGCAAAAAAATGTTCACAGCATTTCAACAGAGAAGGGGAAATAGTGGCGAAAAAAAACAGAGGCAAAAAATCAATAATGCCAACGAGATTAGATGCTGTAGAAAATGTAATTTTGGAGCTTTTCATGCGGCCAGTCGAAGAGGGATGCGAATACGTGGGCAAAAAACGGTGAAGCGAAGAGAAATGAAGCATAGGTCGTATTGAAAACCGTGGTTTGAGATCTAATCTTAATTCATCAACCTCTGAAGTCCACATGTCTAACGCCCTGTGAGGTGCCTTGCAGCGTGCGAGGCCGTTCCAATGTGGGTAATTGTCAGAGGGGTGGGTAAGAGCGGGGAGAAGTCTCAATATATGCCCCACTCAGTGCACATGATTTGTTGGGGATTTTGGTTGAGTCCGTACCATACTCCCAAGAAGGTGTTTGAATAAGACACCCTCCCGTCTAAGTTCCTTCCTTGATACGATTCGAGACTGTCAGGCGAATGGTGTGGATGCCGGATCCGGGAACGACTTTCCCAAGAGTATTTTTCAGAACTCAAAATGACATACTCGCCGACTCTCGACAACAACGAGCAAATACGGACACCTTCACCCTCTATGAGGGTCACAGTTGAAAGATAAAATTGGTTCTCAATAAAATTCACAATAAAAGGATGCAAATACACCCCTCGCATCGGCGAAAAAGAAGACCCCCCCACGTTTGGGGAAAGTCCCTAACCAATGAAGTAGGCTCTAATACCATTCACTTCGCTTGAGTAGAAAAACATCAATTTATGTTACCATTGGCATTTTTGCGCCTTTCAGCGGCTAGCCATGCAGCCGACCATTATAACATTTCGTGAGTTCGAGTGTGGCTCAAAATATTTCTCAGGAGTTGGAACAATTGCGGCCGGTCTTATGTTATTATGGGCAGTAATCAGCGAGGAATTAGCGCATATATGGGAATCGATTTGAAGGAATAGGGCCGTACTTTGGAGGCCAATAGAAGGGACATATATGCTTGAAAAATTGGGCTGATTCGCTAATGGGTGTACCCCTGCACAAGGGCAACCTAAAAGAGGCGAACTAAAGGAATTCAGCAATCTGCGCGTCTGCGTCTCACTAGCTTGTAAGGTAACAATGTGTTTTCTGAAAATGTAATTGAAGAGTGCCCGTCTTCGCTTTACTTTATGACATGAAAAACTAGAAAAATAACCAATCTGGAAAAAAACTTACAAATGGGCTCATTTCGTGAGTTTCTGGTTTTCTATTGTGCAGATTGAGTACGAGTACGGTGAATACAACTGAAGCCGAGACTACCAACATACAGCACGAGAAAAACGCACCTGAATTAACACGGTTCATAAAGCCAGAATTCAAATCTACTAAACTCGCAGAAAAATTTCTCTATGTGATATGAAGAAAAACTTCCAGTTGCTTCTCTTCCTTTTCAACACTGGTAACAAAAATTGAGGTGGGATTAAAATTGCGGCTTTAGAATGGGAGGGTGAGCGTGAGAGCTCCTGTACAAGGGGTTTCGAGCGCTTGAGAAGCAGTATTCCAAAACTAATTCATGAAGTACAATAAGGATGATGGTCCCTATATCTTCGCGGTGACTGCTCAAATCCTGGATGGAAGCGACTTTCGACTTCTGAACAGACTGCAGATACAGTGGCGGAATAAAATTCAAAATCAGACAAGAACGGCATTTTAAACCTGCTCCTAGCGAATAAACTACTTGGTCTTCTACTCCTTCATATGAACTGTTGCTCTTCTTTGTTACTAAATATGTAGTACTGGATATCTCAAAAATATACCAATCAGAGGCACAGCTTCGGATGTGGGCGGAGTCATATCGGCAACCATGCTGAGGAAAAAGCAAACTGATAGCAGTATAGTAATTTCTAAAGAATGACTGATTAGAAACGATGGAACGTACATATGTAGCCTACAAAACTTGGCACACCCTTTTCTATAAAGAGTTGATAAAAGTAGGGAGCTTTAGGCTGCACTACATACCTACCCAAAGTGATTTTTTCTCCAGCGTCTGGAGGCAGAGTGAAACCTAAAACCGTCATGAGCGATATGAGAAGCGAAGGAATAATCAAATTTAGACCTGAAATTGATTTATTTGTTGCACTGCGATAGGAAGTTACCGTGTCGAACTTACCGTAATATAGTGTTCTTCTTTGAATAACTAAATAGAAATATAAAGAAGGATATGGTTGATCATCAAATACGTTCGTTTCATTACGAGCGGGAACAGCTGAAATGTAGTGCATTCAGCAAGTTTAAAAATCTTCAAATCTTTTCAAAAAATGCTGTCCAGAATTTCGTCCAGCTCTTCGAAATTATTCGCCTTTGTAGAAGCAAATTCAGATCAGGATAAGTCTTTAAATGGACTGTCGCATGCTTTCAGGACTGATATCGCTTCTATCGACTTCTCCTCTCAGGGGATGCGCTATTCGTTGCACTTTCATTCAGATTAGTTGATTTATTCGAACGCACAGTTGATACCGCGGCAATCAGTCGGGGCGGCGTCAGGAGGATGAGACCGCCCGCAGAGTTTTCAATAAGCATTCGTCACTTGTTGTTTGTTTTTAAATCGTTTCCTAAGGATCACCGTTGTCGGAAAGGGAGCGAAGACGGCTGATTCCGCGTCTCCATTCTAATTGAACCTCAGAATTTAATTGGCGGTAGCTTCTAAGACTCCTTAGAAAAAGTGTGCCTTCTGAAAGAGGAGCACCTTTGTGAGCGCCCATATTTCTCAGCCACACTGTAGCTGTCTGAAGTAACTTCTGAAGTTCAGTCCCTGCAAAATCTTAGGAATTTAACACAATTTTTCAAGACAAATATCATTGGGCAGTACGCTCTGGCATTACCGTGCCAGAACATGTCTCCTACAGTTTCCTTCTTAAAATTGTTCAGAGTGGGCAGTGAGTTTTTGAGACTGGCGTTCTTTGGCATGATTTTGCATATTCTTACAAATTCGATTTAACATGGTTAAGGTTAGCACTGTAGACAAGTTGCAGGTTGCACGGTCTACAACTTCTAACCCCTTGAAAAAGACGTGACGAAGAAGGGCCATGTCAGGGCATGTGTGATACAAGCTCCGCATTGCCGCCTTCCCCCGTAATGCACCTACACGTAGCTTAATTTCAGCTTCATTTTATCTGGTCTATCCTGGAAAACGTTCTGGCAGATCGCGGGCCGAGAGGAGTTGTATTTTTAGCGAGGGTGACGGCAAAAAGGGGGATAGAGGGAGGGCTCGTTGTGGCGCTTGGAAAAAAAAGGTGTGGTTTCGGTAGTTGACTTCTTGGGTTTTCCCGTTTTGCTTGCATATAATGTGCTCCCTCTTTCCCCCTCTCCCGGAGGGAGAGAACTGGAGCTTTCTGAACAAAAAATCCGAGAAGCGTGTAGAAGTAGGCAGAGGTTAGGAGAATAACTGGTACATTCTGGGCGCACTGTTTTGCATAAACTTATCCAACGGCAGAAGTGTCTTTGGGTTGTTTTTAAGAATAGCTGCTCGATCATACCAGGAAAAAAGCGAAGTGCGTAGGTCTGTAAAGCAGCATAAACAGCAGCTTCCAGCAACTGTGAGCTGATCTATTATTAAATATTATATTATTAAAAAGAGCTTATATACTAAGATTACTTATTACTCTACATACTTTAGCCCTGATGAAGCTGGGTGTAACTTTTTTAGCAGCAATAGTCCTTTTTATCGCATTTTGGTCTACCTTCTTCACGCTCTTTGCGAATTCTCGAATTCACATAATATGTCCGTTGGATAGTTCAGTGCCCAATGTCGCTTCTCATTCAGATTACCGTCAGGTCTATATCAAAGCGTTCCGAAAAAAGGGGTGTGTACGCATGAAATTGCCGCAGTGACTGCAGTATCGATTGGCACCCCATTATGGTGGAAACGAGTCTACTATTAGGGTGTCCGGAAAGTTTTGAGAAAATTCCGCTGCTTCAGAAAAAGCGTAGCGCGCGCGAAGGCCACGAGGAAATCTGTAGATCAAAACATGGGAAGATAGAGGATTGTCTGTAGATCAATTCAGCAGCTGATCAACATTTAATTTCGTCATTAGCCTTTGTTGTAACCAATCGAATAATGTGCGACAGACACTACAGTCGACGCATCCTACTTCATTATTCACTGGCGCTCCCCGCTCAAGCGAGGAATGGGTCGCTGTCGTCGATGGGTGGCAATGCACCCTTTCTTACAACCTGCTACAGGTGGTACGACCGCTCCGCAATGGGAGAGTTTAGCCTTGATGAAGCACCTCGATTGAGGCCCTCCTTCTTCAACACAGACTCGTTCTAAGCTTCTGTGAGGACATCCTGCCCAAGCTTTTAGGAGTTCGGAAGAGGACGAATTTGTTTCTCGATCCACTATTTACGAGCATTTTGAAAAAAGGAAGGGCTTTCGGCGCGGGCTCTGCCGGGACTATTGAGCGTGCATCCTATCGCAAGGGCGTGTGGTGAGGGTCGATTCTATGCCGAAGCTATTCGATCGAAAGGAACGACGACTGAAGCGAGATTCGGATGACTGACCAGAATGAAAAAAGGGTTCGGTACAAAGACGGATAGGGAAGGAGTGGTTGCGTCGGACAAGACGCCAGAGCCGTTCAAAGAGAATGATTGCTCTCGTTTTACTTCTGCTCGTTACCGGTGGCAGTGTTATTATGGGATATTCGGGTCATGAGGGTACTGACTGAAGGACAGTTATCGATCCTCTGGGCAACTACGAGAGCTGGTGTCCCGGCTCCATTTCGCGATCAGTACAGGCAGATTTCACGATTGACATGGACAGCGCCCGCACATCATGCTGGCGACAGAGGGACGCTGGGAGAATTCTTGGAATCGAAGGCTGCCCCATGCTCCGTATTCACCTGAACTTTCGACGCCGTTGTGATACTATGGTTTCAGGATGTCTCCAGCTACCTGCAAGGTTAAATGTACAGATGGTTCACAACGATCAGGGATGTCAAGGTAGGTGATTGAATGAGATTGCGTCGGACGGTCTTCCTTTCTGGAAGAAGGGCATTCGATGCGCCTGCTCGGTAGAGGGAGCATGTTCCACTTTTCACAATTTCTTGTTCGCTGGTTTTGTAGTTATATCTGGAATCTTTTCCGAGATTTTTTTTCTTTTTCTCCCAGGAATTTGCGGGTTCGGGGGCGGGTGTAATATCACTAGGGTCCAGTGATACAGCCACCCATAAATCTCACAATATCCCTCCCTACACGACGTTTTCAAAAAAAGCCTCTAGGTATAAAATGTGGTAATTACCAGTACCAATTTGCATGCCAAATCCGAGAACTGACTTTCAGAGCAGAACTTCGAAGTTTCTTAGTTTTTTGAAATTTCTCACCTCTTGAACAACTGTCCCGCGAAGGTATACTTCCACGTAACGAAGATGGATTAGAAAAGACAGAGTGTAACAGATTGTATGTTAGAGAAAGTGCGGTTGTCCATGCTCGGAACAGAGGCGGTCTATAAGTGTTTTGTTCGACATGGGTGGCCATTGCATCAGATGATAGCTCCGTGGAGCGAAATGATGATTGTTCGAATCGCGCATTGGTGCGCGTATATTCCTGGCGTAACATGAGAGGCCCACAAACATTCTCGATGTAGGTCTGGACTATGTCGCTGCCAGGGCAAAGAGTGAGTTGTTGATGACGGCTGAACACCGCTCGAGGCGCTCGGCTGGACATGGGATTGGTGGTGGCATTGTCTTGCACGAATACAGGATTTCAATGGCTTATCGTTTCGCCAGGAAGTCAGCCTCGTGGGGCAGTTACTCTACGTAGTCGGAAGAGTTGATTTTTTTCGATACGCAGCGAGCAGGCTTAATCCGTATTCGACTGCGATGCGCAAGCCGACGATGGCGACACCCTCTGAAGTTCGCAGGAGCGTTTTGAGGCGTTTATCTCATTCAGACAGCGAAAGGATGGACCCGAAGGGCTCTTCTGATTCAGGATCCTGGGGATCCTGAGAAGAGTGAATTGATAACATGAATTGAGCGTGCGCAACTCGTCTGTGGATTTGACGGTTGAGCATGGTCCTGAGCTTCTTTGGCGATAGAATGCCCGCTTTTCGGAAGTCAGACAGGTGAAGCCTCGCGCCAGTAGACCGGAGAAAAGGAGAAGTCAAGGTAGTGATGATGAGAAAGTTTACCCGAAAAAAAAATGAGACGCAATGGGAAAATATGCGGTGGAAGTATACTTGTGGGACATTGTCAGAGTGAGAAATTTTCAGAGAAGATTAAATAAAGTTGAAGTGCGCTGGAGAAGTAGTTCTCGAGTTGGCATGATATTGCTGCTGGTAATCTTTCAAGTTTATATTACGGCTTTTATTTTGAAAACGTCGTGTAGGGAGGGATTTAGGTGAGATTGTTTGATGGGCGGAGTGATACTGTTTGGACGGAGTGTGATGTGGCAACGTGAACAGAAGAAGCGCCGCAAGAGGAGTCAGACGAAGAAGTTTTCCCGCAGCCGCAAATTTCTCTCAGAGGCGAGATACTGTACGTATTTCCTCCCAAACATTACGAGCCAGTAAGATCCCCCCTTATTATGAGACTGTGAAATCAAGAAAAAGTCAACTATCAAAAGAATTTCGACAAATACCCCCACTTCCGCGACTCCCCCTGGTCCAACTCCGCAGTTATCCCATTAGGGAAATCCCTCAAACGCTGATGTGCCCTGGTTTCACTTCTTTTCCCTTATGGATTTAGCAGAATCCTTTGTTATTCTCAAATATCAGCATGGCGCTTCAAAAGGGCACAACTAATAGTAGATGGCAACCCGACACTGGGAACTTTTCGAAAGGATTTGCGGTGAAGGGCAGAGTGCGATGACGGTTTTACCCTTTGAGGCTTCTCGCTTCTTCAAAGTAAACAGAATTCCAAGCTCAGCGCACGACCACAAGGATGACATTCATCGGGGAAAAAAGTACATGATTTACGATGACATCTATGAGACTTGCTGCTGCTACTCGACGCCAACCTATAAAAAATCATTTTCCGACCGCTGTCAATTGATTGTGCTCTTTTAGTGCAAAGTGAAAAAAGTAGAGTAGTAGGAAATGGAGGGGAGCAGAGTTCAAGTCAATTTATTTTCCGCGCAAGTTTAACGGTGATACTTATTTCTTTGCAGATAACTGGCACAATGAATCCACAAGGCGTATACTGTAACTACGGCTATAGGAAAGAGTACTGTGCCCCTGAGCAGAAGCTGCGTGGCTCCTTTTCCAATGAAGCGACCCTTATAGGGCCTT